GCCAGCCAAGAGCTCAGAACGATGGCTGAGGAGTTCGAATATGGGAGACTTAGGGCCATAAAGTGAAAAAGGTCTGAAGCAGTTTGTTACCGAAGCAGTTGTAACGGAAGGGCACGTAGCTGGGTAACATGATTACAAATATATCATAACCCGAGTCCCTCCTTTGTCCCTCCCCGGTTCCTCCGTTCCCACCCTCTCGTCACTTTCTCTTATAGCACTCTCTCTTTTTCTCTTCAGCACACGCACCTAGGAAGGACCAGAAGGAGGAACCCCTCCATCAGGTTGTCCTCGCAAGACGCGATACACGTGCGTAGCCTGTCGATGCGGCTTAGCCACTGCAAATCACTGTCCCGGCTACCCCTAACGCGCAGGGTGAAATGAAAAACTGTCTTCCCTTTCTGGTTTTCACGTAACGTCTCATTGTTTTTAGGGAAGCGTACATTTCGTTCAACGGATGAGACTGATTATTTAAACGGAGAAAGTGGCTGTCAGCGGTGTGTCTGGAATTTGGCGAGATTCCTGGATGATCTCAGCATCCGTATTAGCCTGGCAGCACTGGATACTCTGACGGAGAATCTCACGCTCTCTCTCCCTCTCTCTTACTGATAGGAGGCAGATATCCACGATGGGATGGGGGTATAAGGGGGTGAAGATGCCAGAGGAGCTAGGTGAGAGAGGGTGCCCTTGCCTGCCAGCCAGCCAGATATCTTGGAATGTTTTACACCTCATTAGGCAACAATGTGTTGTTGCCGGGGTGAATTATATCGGGCAAGAGACGCCATCAAGATAAATGGCCCGAAGCGGAGGTAATTGTGGGCTTTTATTAGCTCCAGTTCCTCTCAGGGTGCGATCGCGTCGGCTTCTCCTTCGCCAAGTGCTTATCCCACCTTTAACTTATGTTTCCTTTTCTTGCCAGTCATGCCTGCCAACCTTCGACCCTTTCGGAGCTGAGCTTGCTGCCTTCGCCAGCTTCAAACACACCCAGTCCAGGTGGTCAATGCGATCGTGCGACTCAGGACCAATCGTATCTTCGTGGTCTTCTTGGAATTTGGGGGATGAGAAATTGGGTCTGGGTACACCTGAGGATGATGATGATGAAATATGAAGTATCCGTTCCACCTATCCGGGATATGCTAAGCGCACTGGGTTACCTGGTATGCCTGGCCTGTCTGACAAGATTAATATGGTCAGCGTGTTTCTTGGCATATTTCAAATACATACGAGGTTAATCACTTTGGACGACATTGTTGCGGCTTGGATGGTAACGCAGGACGCTGATGTCGTCCCAGACAGTGGCATCCGCGCCATCCGCTTTTACCAGGCGGAGAAATCCTGCTTTAGTCGGACCAGCCATCCAGCTAGTAGAAGGAGATGACGATAGGAGGACCCGGAGCAAGTTCCCGAAGGTGGCGTCAGCCTCTCGAATGGGGGATCAAAACTTTTCCGCAAATCTCAGCAAGCTTTCGACTTTTACTTCGTTTTCTCATATTTTTTTTCTTCTTTTCTTTCCTCTTTACTTCCTTTCACCTTGCCATCTCTATTTTCTAGGACTATTTTCAGTCTCCTCCTACTCACTGTCTGTCCTGCTGCTATTACGTCTCTGGGAGGTTGGCTCATGGTATATACCCAGCATATGAGAGGCAAGCTTGTCCCTCCAACTCCTCCATCCACGCTAGATTCCTCGAGGCTCATGTATTTATTCATTCTCCAACCCCTTCGCCTTCCACCTAGTCTATTCCGTACCACCACTACAACCCCTAGTATCATCCCTATCAAGAGTTCGTTCACACCAGGTTCTACCAATCTCCTACCTGCGCCGATATGGTCGTTACGTGTCAAAGGAAAGACAATTAATGAAAATTATTTTTTTTAAATGAACTGTGGATAAGGCTTTATATGTCTTCGGGGATGATTTATCTCGCAGTCAAAGCTTTTCATAATATCGTATACATTAATAGATAACTACAGTGGTCCATTTCCCTGGAGATACTTTGTTGACGCTATTCTCATTCTCCTCATCCTCCACCAGCTCCTTTTATTATTCGAAAGCCATATTTACTCATTGGATTCAATTTCGATTCACTTACGGTATGATTTACGCGACGGAGGCGTACCTGTACCACCCCCTCCCTCCCCCCTCGCCACCTTGTTGATGGGAATTTATTGGGGGCGGACGCCACCCTAAAAGCCACCCTTTATACAAGAGATGAGAAGGAAAGTAAAGCAGCCAGCCACGTCCTATGCTCGGTTCACTCGTGCGTAATGTTTATGCTTTGCTCGGCTCGAAAAAGTATTGCGGCATCTTTCATACCGGGATATCCCAGTGCCACGTTAAGATACGGTCTTCTCGCGGAATTTGAATTTACTACGATTTTCACGAAACCGACTCCCTTTCCTACCCTCTATCCACCGACATTCCCGACCCTGGCAAATCCACTTCCGAATTTCTCACAGGACCATACACACCCGGAGTATTTATCTCTTTTGCTCGCTCACGTGCTCACATATGCTATGAGCAATATTACGAAATGCCGCCCACTAGAATTCACCTACATACGGCACTGGTTTATTGAGCCGCTACTGAATTTTTATCTATCCCTTGTGCAAATAGGGCCATAGAGTCCGGGCTTTAAAATGCATGCGCCCTTAAATCAAGATGGCAATTGTAATGGTAACGGACGTCGTGCCGGACGGGAACGTCGCTGGTCCGGAATGGACGCGGATGCTGGAACGTGCGGTATTTTTGTCTGGTGCAGAAATTTTTCTGTAAAATGTCTTCGGGGCGAGTAGAACGAGCGTCGCGACGCTGGCCGAACGACCCTTGAGACTGTCGTAGAATATTTTGTTAGCCGAGTGAATGATTAAAAAAAATTATTTTATACTTTCAAAGTAATCGATCTATCGAATCGCGTATGTGAACTTGGACGTCAAACGGCAAATTTTAACACGTATTGAATGACGACAGCGAGTACCAATCAGCATCGCAAAAAAAAGTGAGGAAATTTCGAGGTATTATTATTATACACGTATTTCGACAGACGATACACGTTAATGATAACGTGGATCTTTTGCTAAGAGGATGTCACGATAGACGTTAGATTGAATGTGAAAAAAAATCTTGAGCTGGTATCAGTTCTTGCATCAATCTAGATGGCAGCACGGTAGCTATGTCGTACATAGATTTAGGGCTGTCCTTGGAAAAACATAGAGTGTAACGATAATAATGGCTGGTGGGGGTGAGGTTACCAGTGGAGCAAGAAAGGCAACCCTTGGGAGTAACGTGGAGTAGTATGGTTGCGGAGGGATGCTGCCGAGGGTGGAATAAGGTGGCTAAAAGCCAGGAGAAAAAGTGGGGCCGTTATGCTGATGCCTTAACACGTCGCGCGATCCTCAAAACCCTCGGAGCCTATCGTATGGGTATTAGGGGGTTGCTTTACCTTGGTACACGTCTTATCATCCCTTACGTTCCTTGGCATTGCCTTAGCGAAGGTTTGCCACTGAATTGTGACTGCGACAACGCAGTTTCCCTGTATCTATGGATATTGTGCTTGGGGTACGTGTATGGTTTTGGGGGGCGGGTGGGCGGAGGGGGGATGGTTTTTCTCGAGATATACGAGGAAATAAGCCCGAATAATAGTGCCTGTGGATGAGACTGTTGGCGTAGTCTTTATTCAGGATCTTCGCACCTGAACCCTCTTTCAAGGGTTGTTCCCTACTACCCTTAATTCTAGTTTCGCTGAATCTAGTGGAGAAATGTTCTTCCCAAATAGACAACCTGTATAGGGGTTGGCTGAGAGTCTATGTGGATATAGCGTAATTTGAAAGGACTGCCGGAGCAAAACAAAGGAGACTCCTTCTGGTGGTTCTGGTCCTGGTGCTGCTGGTGCACAAAATCCTCTGGTCTCTCTGGTTCCAGGCAGCCTGGTTCGCCGCTGATATATTACCCCGTCGCTGATATATGTTGGCTTTTGATTTATGCGGAGTAAACGCCACCTAGAGAATCCCTTCCCTTACCTACACCCTTGGTCTCTCATCCCCTACACGAGAGTCAGCTGGAAAGTCAGAGTTAGCTAGGGACCATGATGGGATTCCCAGTTTCAGCGAAGAAATCCGAAAATTTCGAAATTATCTTTGAATTTGATATAACGTCCACTTTAGGTATTAAAGTATATAAGTAAGGTATATAAGTAAAAAACTGTATCCTAAAATATTTTCAAAATTTCCAAATTTCAAGGCTAACATCACAACCCCTAATTATAAGTACGGAACCGCGGTGAGGATAGCTTCAAAAAATTTTCAACTCCGACAAGTACTACCAGATTGTACGGCGGTATAGCACCGAACCGAGCTAAGGGTAGGTTTGAGGTTTAGCTCATTTAACATGTAGCTGGAGGCGTATCGCGTGGAACGGCGAGTCCCGGGGCTCAGGGGGTTGTTCATTTAAAATCATGATACCCAATCCCCACTCCCGGACGCCTTGTGCCGTGGTAACCCGGGGGTTGGTGTGGCGGTTGCCCTAGCCGAAGCCGCGTTAGTATTAACGTTAGGTGCCAGCCGGGCCACCTACAAGAACTTACCCCCGTCGGTGACATATTGTTTCCATTCTGCTCTTGGGATAAAGCACAATAAAAAACCCGCATAAATATTGCCGCCCGCAGCAGCAGCAGCAGCAGCAGCCCTTACCTCCTCCTTGGCAAGAAGCGAGCGAGCGTGGCCATGGGCGCGAGGGGTGGTAGCGGGAGAGCATTCCCACCCTTATTTTTAGAGGGGGTGAGAGACTGTTGTGACTAATTTGTCTGAGTGGCTTTTTGGAGAGACTAAGGAGAGACCGCGAGAGAGGTCGCACCGAACGAGCCCTTAGCGGATACCTTATTCTTTTTTCTTTCACGTTCATCCCTTATTTTCATCCCTCCGTAGTTTAAGGGATACCGCCAAATGAACTCCGACGAGTCTACAGTCTATGGGTATAACTTCGTTGCGACTAAGGTTGTTCTACTCACAGCGTCGGTGGCTCCTCGGGGGTGCCTGGGGGTGAGGAGATTGCGGCGGCGCTCGGACGTCTCGACGCTCCTGGAGATCTGCCTCGATCGTCCGCCTGTAACAGAAACCACAGAGCGGCGCACTTGAGTAATGCCGATCAAAGAGGATATATGAGCTAGATAAGATGGCCTCCGGATCCAGCATCCATTGGCTTCTCATCTATTGACCGTTCGACTGTCTTGGCTTTATTGGATTCCTGCTATCGCGTATCTTCTCTTTTGACCCTTAGCCTTTACAAGGTTATGCACTCTTTAGGTCTGTGGCTCTTTGCAATATATATAGATGTAATTCGATAGATACAGTTTGACACTTAAACTTAATTGTATGTAATAAATATGTTTTGATTCCATTAAAATTTTTTTTTAAGGAGCTTAGCATTAGCTTTTAGGGGATTTTTGAAAATTTTACCAGTTTTGTGAAATTCGTGAGGATTCGCGCAACAGGTAGGCAGGCAGGGTTGTCTGGTATTCAGAGCGGTAACCATTCAGACAGAACCATAAGTAGAATCGGAATGGTTAATACTGTGTATAGTAAAAAGGATTGTGTATGGTTGTATGGATTTTGAAAAAAAGTTGGCAAGGCTCATTAATAAACGGGGGGTTGGTTTTCCGGTTTATGAGAAAAAAAATGCATAGAGCAGTGTCCCTGTTACTGGAATCCCTTAACGATGTCGAGGGTGTGTACGAACGAAAGGATTAAATACTTATTTTGAAAATGATTTATAACAATCAGGGGGTGAGTTATTGCGAAAAGTTTTAACGGGCACGAATGCCGAACGGAGAAAGCCGGTTTATGGGCACGGGGTGCCAGCCTATAATGGCACTTGTGAGTAGAATTATGGAAATCGCAAATGGCGGAGAGCGAGAGAGAAAATGAGAATAAGAGAGGTCGAGATAGATTCGGCGAGTATTTATTTATTCAGCATCCCTTCGAACGGAGTCGAAATGATTCGATGGACCACTTGGTTCTCCTTCGATTTTATCGTGCGGCTGACTCCCGTGGGAATTAATCGATTCGTCCAAAGTTTTACCGGTGGGTATGTGTGTGGGTGGTATACGTGTACAGAGTATAGGAAGGGATAGGGGGTACGAGAGAGAGAAAGATGAAAGGGAAAAACTGGGGATGAAAAGGAGAAGGAAAGAAAAAAGGTAAAAGCAAGCTTTCGGCCGATTTCAATTAACCTTCCAGCCGAGTGATCGTTAACCGCGGAACCGTAAGCTCATGACGCAACGATTCCGCTTCGGGAAAAGGAGCCGCGTGATTTACATTCCTTCGTCTCGACGGCATAAAAATTCCGGTGCGATAACTTCCTTTGTTCATCCCTCTGTGGTAGCGGCCCTGTCAACCCCTCAGCCAACCCCTCAGCCAACCCCCAACGTAGCCCTACGACGATGCAGAATGCATGGCGACCGACGCGCCATCTGGAATCCGGTACAGCTAGTTTTTCAATTAAATTACATTTTTTCCTGATTAAAGGTACACCCTGTATCTCTTGGGGTCGCCGAGCATCCCTTAGGGTCTTGTCCGAGCGAAACCTCATTCTTCAGACATTTTTTTCTTACATTGCCCTTTTTGACCTCGTAATTCAGTAATACGCGGGTAAAAGATTTTTTTAGCTGTTCGCTTAATTTTTTTTTTCCACCCCCTTTTCGTTTCCTTTACACGATATTTTATCGTTCAAGTAATCAGGGTGGTCTGAGTTGATGAATCCAAAAGCGAAAGAGATGAACCCGTGTGTGCGATGTAGACTAGTTTGAAATGTAATTAAAAGCGTAAATAATCCGAGTCGAATGAATTCAGGGTGAGTCGGGAGTGGGGTTGGGTCGGATCAAAGAACTCGAAGGAAGCAGGAATCGGGTCTGAAAAGTAGAAAAGGCAGAGGAAGGGTGGTCACTGGATGTTACTGGAGGGTCGCTGCCACTCGATCCGGTCTCGTGGAGTACGTCGTCGGCGTCCTCGAGGACGTGTCGACGTCTGGCGTCGTAGGGAGTTAGGGTAGCGTCGCCGGTCCTAGCAGTCATCCAAAAAGAAGAGAAACGGCATCAGAAGCGGCAGAAACGGACCCTCGATAAATATTTCTGTTAAGTGACCGGAGGGGTGGGTTCCAAAAAGAGAGTGGAATTCAAAGAGAGCCGAAAGGTGGAATCAAGAGAGAGAGAGAGAGAGAGAGAGAGAGAGAGAGAGAGAGAGAGAGAGAGAGAGAGAGAATTCTCATCCCTCTCTCTCGCCCCAATACGAACAGGGGCAGTTTATTTGCGTTACGTTACGTAGTTGCGCGTTTAATCAGCCATGTAGTCAGGGTTGGGAATTCCTTGAAGGCGAAAACCAGAGGGAAAAAAAAGAAATCCAAGAGAAGCAAAGGGAGAAGGGTGGCTTTTGCACCCCTGCTCACTGGGGATGATACTGTCCACTGGCTTCGCAGTATCAAAACGAAATTCTACCCCGTCTATTCCTAATTCTACATTTCTCATACCAGTGCCCGCCCCCCCCCCCCCCCCCCC